TTATTGTAAGCTTGCAAAATATTGTAGATTTTAGTAATAAGGCCTTTGTCTGATGTGTCATTGCTAAAGATGTTTTCCCAGTCAGCGGGCTCTGTTATTACTCTCTTGGTGAATTCTTTCATACCAAAATATTTTTAACACCCATAAGTTAGATTGTATTAGAAGTAAATCTCTTTCAGAATTATATTTCATTGCACTCTATATGTTTGTGTGTAAACACATACACACAAGTATACACACTACAGTTGTCCAGTCTAGAAAAACACACTGCAGGCTGCCCTGCATGACAAATATTCATTTTCTTTCTTAGTATAAGGGTGCTTCCAATAGGCCCTCTGGTGCTTCCATAATTAAGTATTCCGTTGGTAACGGTGAAGCTGATGGTTGGAACTCACCAGCCGTCCACCAGAAAGAAAACCCGGCCGTCGGATTCCAGAGCGGTTTCGGCCTTGGAAGCCCTGTCTTACAGGGTTGTGATTAGTCAGGCTTAACTCACCGGCACACTCAGCCACGTGGCCCAAACACTGCATGGGATACATTTATATTTTTAAAAAGTCAGTCACTCACTACCGGGGGTTCAATTCCACCACTTAGAGACCATAGAAGGCAGAGTAGAGCAGCTCCTGTTTCCAAGACGATAACCCTTTTACAGGAGTAGACAACCTTCTCCTTCTCCTGTAGAGCAGTTGATAGTTTGTGTGTTGGTGACCCGTTAGGTTGCGAACCACACGATCAGCAGTTCGAAACCACCAGCCACTCTGTGGGGGCAAAGCCGACGCTTTCTACTCCCGTGCAGATGTGCAGTCCTGGAAACCCACAGGGGCAGTTCACCCTTTACTCTTAGGTGGCTGTGAGTTGGAGTCAACTCCATGGCAGTGAACTCGATTGGTGTTAAAATCCCCAAAGTGTTAGAGCACAGCTGTCATTTTTAGACTCCCCCAAAGAGTGCCCTCCCCACCCCTATTTTGGAATCCAGAAAATATTTGTCCAAAACCCGGCCTCAGACGCTGGGGCAGAGCCGGGAACTTTTCGAGATCAATGAGCAGTTTTGGGCTGGAACCTAGCGCAGCAGCCTAGGACTCCAGGGGGGTGGGGCGGGGGGAGCAGTTTTCCTGGAGACCCACAGCCCCGTTCTGCCCTCTCACAGATGCTCCGGAAGCTCAAGGGCTATGATTCTTTCAACACCCTGCTGCTGCCTCCCCGCCCTCCTGGGGAGAAGCTGCCCACGGAGGTGTACGAGTACTTTAAGGAGTTGAAACGGTCGAAAGAGGAGCAGATGAAGGCGAAGTATATGGAGAACCACTCGCAGGAGAACGGTGAGAACTCAGCGGCAGAACCCTAGCCCCCAGCCACTGCCCTGCGCCTTGGGGTCGCTGCTGCTGCTCTAAGACCCACTGATTCCCGAGCACCTGCTCCTGCCAGGTGGGTGCCTGGTGGCTTATGTGTTTTATTCCCAACCCTTAAAGGAATTCAGCCCTCTTACTCCCTTCTTATGGGTGTGAGACTGAGGCACGTTCACCTGGCTCTAGAGCCCAGTGGGGTGTTCACACATACACTCACTCACACTCTAGTGGCACCATGATTAAGGTGCTCTGTTGGCAGTTCAGACCCACCAGCAGCTCGGCAAAAGGAAGGCCCAGCAATGTGCTCCCCTAAAGACGACAGCCCCGGAAACCCCCTGAGACAGGTCTGCTCGGTCCCGTAGGGTCTCTGTGCGTCAGAATGGACTCGCTGGCACACAGCACGAGAACACTTGCCGGAACTGGACACCCCCTTACGGAAGGGCTGCGGGGAGGAGATGAGCCAGTCAGGGTGCAGTGTAGCAACAATGAAGCACAACTTTCCTCTAGTTCCTAAATGCTTCCTCCTCCCACTATCATGATCCCAGTTCTACCTTACAAATCTGGCTAGATCAGAGGATGTACATTGGTACAGATAGGAGCTGGAAACACAGGGAATCCAGGACAGATGATCCCTTCAGGACCAGTGGTGTGAGTGGCAATACCGGGAGGGTGGAGAGAGAGTGGGTAGAAAGGGGGAACCAATTACAGGAATCTACGTATAACCTCCTCCCTGGGGGGACGGACAATAGAAAAGTGGGTGAAGGGAGACATCAGACAGTGTAAGAATGACAAAATAATAATTTATAAATTATCAAGGGATCGTGAGGGGAGGGGGAGCGGGAAGGTAGGGGGCAAAATGAGGACCTGATACCAGGGGCTTTAGTGGAGAGCAAATGTTTTGAGAATGATGAGTGTAATGAATGTACAGATGTGCTTTATACAATTGATGTATGTATGGATTGTGATGAGAGTTGTATGAGCCCCCAATAAAATGATTTTAAAAACAAAATTTTTTTAAAAAGAGAACCCTTGCTGGATAGCCACACCTGTGCTGAGCACTGTGTGTGGACAGAGGAGCAGACCAACGCAGAGAGGTCTGGGCCACAATTTGAAGTGGCAGAGTCAGGATTTGAACTCAGGCCTCTCTGACTCCCGACTCCTTGTCCCTAGCCATCACACTGCACTGCCCCCTTCCCGTGTGTGCGCATAACCAGACGGCTGGGTGGAAATCCATGTCCTAAGCAATGGAGGGGCTGTGGGTTCAGATCAACTTCTCAGCCTCCTACCCTTTCTGCCCCAGCACCCAAGTTACCCACTTCTACCCAAGGGCTGCCTGGTGTGCACCTGCTGGCCTAGAGCACGGTGGTTTGTCCTGAGGCATGCATTCTGTCCTGCGTCTCTGCTCCCTCCTCTGGAAATACACCAGCGCTATTACTTGTCTTTTCTCTTCATCTGTACACCAATTGGCTTTTATGCGATTGTCTTCCTCGTACCTGCCTCCCCCACTGGACAAGAAGCTCCCAAAACAGCAGTGAACACCGACCCTCCATTTGCCACCCAGTGCCTATGACGGCACCAGACCCATCCCTGTGCCCCAGGATTACATGCTGTAGAAGGGAATGAACGATGAATGGACTCAGTGCGGTCCTTTGCTCACGCCCTTGGCCTGTCTTACTGCCTCTCAAAGAGAAAGAAGCGAGTCAGAAAAGGCTCGTTTGGCCTAAAAGGAGATGAGAGGAAAACATGGAGCAGAACTCAAAGTCTTTTTTTCCCAAAAGTCCAGACAAGCAGGGACAGTAGAGCACAGCAGACTCCCCAAGACCATTGCCCCAAGATACTCTTTAAACCCAGAACCAAGGCCCCCCTGGGAGTCCCTTTTAGCAAAGTCACAGCGTGACGTATAAGATATTAAGGATATTAAGATCAAGGCTCTGCCTAAAAGCCATCAGTCTGAGACCAGAAGGCCAGCAATCCCTCACAAGCAAAGATGAGACGCTAAGGGAAACCGGGTTCTGGAAAGGGAATGAACAGCCCAATCGAAGAGAAAGCTGACAGACGCGTTATGACCAACGCAACCGATGCCCCGAACGGTGTGTGCAGAAATTGCCAAACAGGAACCTGACTTGCTATGTCAACTTTCACCAAAAACTTTTTTTAAAAAAATGTTTTTAAGGTTGGGGGAGGTAATGAGAGAAGACTGTTCCCTGCCTGTTCTCATAGTCACAAACACCAATGGGCTCCACCAGTGTTCTGGGGGAAAGGTCAGAGAAACGTGCCCCAGACTGGGAGTATAGACAGTGATACTGTGGGCAACCCAGGCCCAAGGCTGGAAACTGCGAGGGGCTTGATTTACTGAGGGCCACTTAAGGGCGTGAGGGCACTGCAGTCGTGGGCTTGTTCCTCTGTTTGGTCCTCAGAGGAGAACTGACGGTGTGGTGGGGGCACCTGGAGGGCTCACCTCTGCTTCTCCCCTGTGCTATTCTTTGAGCATCTGTGCTCTCTGCTCTCATCCTGTGACCCACCCTTCTTGCTCCTGAGCCCACAGCCGGGCAGGCCAGGGGCTCCAAGTGACATCCTGCCCTCACCCAGAAGAACATCCCCCTCTCTGAGCTCCAGATGATCCAGGTGCCTGCAGCTGCTTGTGTCTCAGGGGCTGGGGTTCACTTTGTATAACAATAGCCCACTGTGCTGCTGTGGTGGTGGATTGGCTATGGTCATGTTATGTGGATTGAACTGCAAGGTCAGCAGTTCAAAACCACTAGCCTCTCCAAGAGAAAACAATAAGGGTTTCTACTCCTGTAAAGAGTTACAGTCTCACAAACCCACAGGGGCAGCTCCACCTTCTCCTAGCTAGTCACTGAGTCGGAATCAACTCGATGGCAGTGAGTTTGTGGTTTTTTGGGGGTTTTTTTTGTTTGTTTGTTTGGCCGTCACAGAGACCTGTGGGGGGATGCTGGGCCAACCAAATGACTGACAAGCTTCACAGTGACCGTGGAAAACGCTTGTGCTACCTCCTGAGGGGGAGCAGACTGCATACACATTAATATGATTGCCAAGAGACAGAGACAGAGAAGTGGTGACCGTGGAATTGCAGTTGGATCGTACAGGTTTTGCTCTTCTGAAGCTTCTAGTTTTTCTAGCGCAATTTTGCTTTTAAAAATGATCAAATCTGGAGACTCTCTGTGCAGAGGAGCTTAGCAGCAGCCACCTAACCGCAGCTGGTATTTACTTGAAGGTGATGCTAACCAGGTGTCCTTTCTTTCCTGCCCTTTCCTGTCTCCCCTCCCCACTCCCTGTAGAAGAGGAAGAGTGGCCCCCATCAGACCAGGCAACTTCCGCCAGCACTAAGCGGACCTCGCTCAGCCAAGGAATCTCTGTCACATCCAACATGGAAGAACGGCACATCGCGAAGGTCGACTCCAAAACCTACCCCGATGAGGAGGAGGAGGACGAGAGCTTGGAGAAGATCGTGTTTCAAAGTAACCGGGTGTTCTTGGTTGGGTGCCAGCTCATTCTGGGCAGAAGTGGGAAGACGGTTCTGTATCTTTTCACTTTTCTCCAGGAAACGCATCCTGGGAGCCCCAGAACTCCCCCAGCCGAGGCTTCCCCACTTCTGCTAAGGATGAACCCGGAGATAGGCCGACAGGCTTCCTATGTCATACATTCTGCTTGCCACAGTGGCTTGCCCCAGCGGTGTAGCAGGTTATGTGTTGGGCTGCTAACCTCTAGGTCAGCAGTTCAAACCCACCAGCCCCTCCACAAGAGAAAGAGGAGGCCGTGTGCTCCATCTGTAAATGTTTTACAGCCTCAGAAGCCCTACAGAGCAGATCTGCTCCGTCTTACAGGATGATTATGAGTTGGAATCAACTTAAGGGCAGTAGAGTGTTTTGGTTTTGGTTTGGTTTATGGAGTGCTCAGAGAAACGTCTCGGGGGACCCATTCTTCCCAGGGTTACTTCCATTGGACTCTGGCAGCGCCATGCCTGTGGAGGAGGGTCAAGGAGAGGGTGGTAGGCAGGCAGAATGGTTGATGTGTTGGACAACGTTCCTGGGAAATGTTTATGATCAACTAAGGGGGAAAGCAAACTATAAAAACCAATCTGTACAATTTGATCCCCTAGTGTCCTGGGCCCACTTCCTGGCAATCATCTTGCCTGAGTGACAGAATACATTAGAGCCAGGCTTTGAAAGTCACATTCAGCAAATCTGGGTTCATGGGGCCATTACTCTGCCAGGCATCATAGGCCATGCCGCATCATTGTCCTCTCTCAGGGAACAGGAAGCATTGGCAAGACCAGTGAGCTCTCTACGGACTCGGGTTAAGTTGTCATGTTCAACCCTTGTCAACATTGTGGGTGCATTAAGGCAGAAGTGCACAATGGGACAAGGGGGACTGAAGTACAGGAATCCAGGCCTCATGTCCAATCCACTTTGCTTCTGCTGGCCTGCCCCTTAGCTTCTGGGCCCTGCTACTGTCCTCAGTCCCTGGGCTGACCCAGAGCCAGCCCCGACCTCCCACGGAACAGGAAGCACTCTATGATACGAAGGATGAACAACCCTCTAAACCACTTACATGCCATCAATAGCTAAATTATAAGAAATCCAGGCAATGAAGTACCTTCACAGCTGTGCCTTTAAAATGAGCGCGGTCAGTTTTCAAGTGAATAAAAAGAGGTCTGAGAGATGATACATGAAAAACCCAGTTTTGCTATTCAGACACCGTACCTGCATTTGGAGTGACTATTCCCACTCCTCACTCATCAACAGGGTTGGGTGCAAAAGACCCAGTTGCCATGCAAACACGTCCATTGTGAGGACATGGAGAGTGACACATCAGATCACAGAATGGGGGACGACCACATCCTTACTTCACCACCAATCGCATCACTGCTTAACTGCCAAACTGTATCGCTACGTAACTGCCAAACCAACTGAGCTGACTTGTAACCTTAACCATCACAGCTAGCATTGCCTTCACTTTGACATTTGTTACTGCCAAACATAAGTCAAATGCATGAAATGTTCAGATAGTAAATGTTGTACAATTGGTGTAAATGCTAAAAGTCAGATAACGAGAGAGTAGGTGAGAGGTGAGGGGTCTATGTATTTGGGTAGATATCACTCTGCATATAGAGAACATCACAGCTTGCTCTCGCCCACCCTAGACATCCCTTTAGCCCAACACTGGTCCATCTAAATTGGGGATCAGCAAACTTGGCCATAAGAGGTCAGACAATAAATGTTTCAAGTACTGCGGGGCATGCTCTGCTGCAACGACCCAGCTCTGCCTTCGTAACGTGAAAGCAGCCACAGACAAAGGCTGTGGACCGATAAACCTTATTTACAAAATCAAGTGGCAGGTCACATTTTCCTCTTGGCTTCAGTTTGCCAGCCTCTGATATAAATCATTCTTAATAGCAACTATGGGGGAAGATGGCAACTATGGAAATTCCAAAATATAAATATGCCATTATCTATCAAACCATTTTGTCACTGAAAATCATACTGAACTAAGCAGGTCCACACAGATGCCTTTTCACATTTCAACAGGAGAGATTCCGCAAACTCCAGCATTAGAATCAGAGTTATCCGTATTTTGAATTTTCATAGCTGTGGACAAATTAGGAGCTTTGGTCTCATACTCGTTACAAATTCATCTGCTAGCCACAAGGTCAGCAGTTCAAAATCACCAGCTGATCCTTGGGAGAAAGACAGGCCTTTTGACTCCCGTAAAGAGTTACAGCCTAAGAAACTCACAAGGGCAGTCCTTCCCTGGCCTAGAGGGTCACTGAGAGTCGACATCAACTCGATGGCAGTGAGTTTGGTTTGGTTTAGTGGACAAGTTATTAGCCAAAAGGGTAATCCCCTGAGCTATAGGTGGGAATGAGGGCCACCGCAGCATGATGGCAAGTCACATTTACCATTTTATATAACAACATTTAATAAGAAAACCTGTTTCCCATTTCTATCAGAGCCCATGGTAACTCTGCATGTGCACATGGACAGGGAGCCCTGGTGGCACCGTGGGTTACACGATGAGCTGCTAACCACAAGTCAGTAGTTAGAAACCACCAGCAGCTCCACAGGAGAAAGATGAGGCTTGCTACTCCCATAAAAAGAGAACTGCAGTGTCCGAAACCCCCAAGGGTTGAGTCAGCATTGCTTTGATGGCAGTGAGGGAGTGATCCCTGCAAGCATGTGCACACGCGTGTATTTTTCATCTGCAGCTGACAAGCTACAGAGCATCGACAGCCACTCTGTGGAGGAAGTTGGAGAAGTGGAAAACAACCCCGTAAACAAGGCTATCGCCCGCCACTTGGGCATTGACATCTCCACAGATGGCCGCCTGGCCAAGAACCGGAAGGGCATTGCCATTATCGTCCACGGGACACCCCTCTCAGGTAATGGGCAGCCCTGGGGGAGGTGAAGCCCAGGTGTCCCGTGCCCTCCAGAAACCTCCTGCCTTCCAGGGTGGCATCATCAGCTGCGTGGGCACGAGAACTACTAACAAGTTCATTGATAAAAAGTCTTTGCAAGCATGTGTTCTAGAGTCACCAACCCAGTCAGTCCTCAGAGTGCCGTTTGCCAGTTCTGTGCCTTTGGGGAAGGCACTTAAATTTCCCGTGGCTCGTCCTTGACTACAAAGCTGTAGCAGTATCCAATGTGAACATGAGAATGGAATGAGGTCATCCTGTCAGATGTTTAGCCTCACACTTGACACATGATCAGACCAAAACCACACTGACTACCATCGAATCGATGCCGACACACAGTGATCCTATAGGACAGAAGAGAACTGCCCCTATGAGTTCCTGAGACCGTAACTCTTTACAGGAGTAGGAAGCCCCATCTTTCTCCCACAAAGCAGCTGGTGGTTTCAAACTGCTGACCTTGTAGATCACAGCCCAATGTGTAACCACTACACCACCTGTGACACATGATAAGCACTCATTATTATCATTACTACAATGATGATGGATATTTACTGTCATTGTTAATTGTAACCCTGCCTGGTATTTGGTACTCGATTGGAAAAATAACATAATGCTAACCACATTGTCCTAAATAACCACCAGGAATACAAAGGGGCTTCAAAAAGTTCGAGGAAACATTCCATTATCTTTTCATTCCATTTTCACATAAACTTTCTGAAACCCCTTCTTATGTTGCCAAAGGTGCCCTGGTAGCGTAGTGGGTTTACGTATTGGACTACTAATCTCAAGGTCAGCAGTTTGAAGCCACCAGCCGCTCCATGTGAGAAAGATGGGGCTTTCTGCTGCCGTAAAGCGTTGTGCCTTGAAAACCCATAGAGAGAGTTCCGCTCGGTCCCGTCGGGTTCCTCTGCGTCAGAATTGACTCCATGGCGCGACTTCACTTTGGAGCGATTATGTTGCTAACAGTAAGCCAGACAAGGAGTGAGCTCTTCGTGAACAGGCGGGCCCTTTATTGCCTCTAAAACTTACACACGCTCACTGCACCCTAAACCACCTGCAACGAACGAGATCTTCCGCTTACAAATGGACCTGCAGTTTGCAGAACTCCTTCCCATCCGTTTCCGTGTGTAGACCTCCCGCCTGCCCTCGGAGGGGAGCGCGACAGTCCCCACTTCACAGGCACAGAGACATTCGAGGCCGTTGGCCCAAGATAGTGGCACGATGAATGGGCCTGCAATTTTCTGAGCTTCCGCCTACTCAAAGAAAGGACCCGGGACCCTTTTCCGACCCAAGCACTGCCACTCCTACAGAAAATGCTTCCAGAGCATTCTCTATGTTTTAATCACTGAGAGAGGTCCCAGGAACCTTTAAACAGGTGACAATCCATGACTTCTTTCCCTGCACCCACAGACTAAGGAACCATAGACCAGAATGTAAAAGATAGAAGGCCAGATAGGAATCGAACAAGACAAGTAAGAATGTGGTTTCTGAGTGATTAAAAGACTCCGCCACCCTCAGGAACTAGCCATTTCTGCATTGGCTCTGCAAGGCTTGTCGGAAGACTGTGATGGATCGGCAGAAACGTGAGACCAGGTTAGCCCTGAAGGTGCATGTGACCTTGAAGGAGCCACTAAGCCCTGTTCTAGGGTAGGGTTCACCCGATTTTATCCAGAGATGAAAAGCCTAAAGAGAGCAGCCAAAGGTAGACTCTGCTGCAGACTATAGCAAAGATTGTTTGCAAAGAACCATCACAGAAAACAGTTGGGAAGTTTGTATCAAAACCAGACTGGACATTGCACCTTTGGGCTTTCTGGTCAAATTTAAACAGGTGACTTGGAGAGACAATAAAAGACTCCCTTGTTCAAAATTCAGACACCAAAAGTCATCCTCAGACTGTTAAATCGCTGGCCTCAGAGGCACGGAGTTAGAGGAGAGGGAAGATCCTCATTGTTAATTTATACAACTCTGAGTATTTTGAACTTGTATTCCTTTAATAATTTAAAAATGTTAAAATATTAGAGAAAATTCAAGGCATTGAATTATTTAAAAATAGAGGGGGAGTATGTGCCAACACTTTGACCTGGCATTCTGAAATTCTCTCAGGAAAATAATTAATGATGCAGACAAAAATTAACTGCAAAAAAAAATCACTGAAGCACTGTTTGCCATAGTTTAAAAAAAAAAAAAAGAGGAGAGATTGAAGTGCTCGGTATGGTGACCTGGTTAAATAACCTGTATGTCTTAGCTGTCCAGGGCTGCTAACACAGGAATACCACAAGGGTGTAGCTTTCTCAAACAGAAATTTATTCTCTCCTAGTTTAGGAGACTAGAAGCCTGCATTCAGGGCACTAGCTATAGGGGAAGCTTTCTTTCTCTGTGGGCTTTGGGATGAGGTCTTTGTCAGCTTCCACATCTATTGGCCTGGTGGTTCTTGAAGATCTCCAGGTGTCTTGGCATCCATCTTCCCTTGGGCCTCTAAGGTTCCTGGTGCAAGGACTCTTGAGTCCAAGGGAAGGACTAGGCTCCTAGCTCTGCTTTCTTGGTGGTAGTGGGTCCCTCCTCCTCTGCTCGCTTCTCTTTCCTTTCATCTCTCGGGAGATAGAAGGTGCTACAGGCCACACCCCAGGGACATTCCTCCTACAAGTGTGTGACCTGAGTAAGTGGGTTGCATGGCACCCTAATCCTCTTTGAAATGACTGGCTGATCTTACAGGATTACAGCATGTGAATGATTACATCATTACATAACTAGAAACACCGCAGCATTACCAAACTGCCAAGCCACTGAGAAGTATAACCCAGCCAAATGGACACATATTTCATGGGAGACAAAACTCAATCCATGACACCATAGCACATTCTGGTAGTGAATTACGTTACCATTAAAATGAATGCCTTAAAAGTATTCTGAACCAGCAAAAAGATGCACATGATATATTGTTCTAAGTGAGGGAGATCGTCTTGGTGATGACTTAGTATCTGTATGATTTCCTGTCACTGCTGTAACAAATTCCCACCGCTTCAGTGGCTGTAAACAACACCCACTTATTCTCTAACCTCCCGAAGGTCAGAAGTCTAAAATGAATTGGCAGGGCTTTCTTTGGCTGGGGGAGTGGGGGAGCGGGGACCGCTCTCGACCCTTTTCCTTACCCTTTGTAGCTTCTGTTGTTCTGGTTAAATGCCATCCAGTTGATCTCAACTCCTGGTGGCCCCGTGTGACTTTGTAGAGCTGCCCCAGCGAGTTTTCTAGGCTGTACCCTTGAAGGAAACATGATCACGTCTCTCCCCCCGGGTGCAGCTTAGTGGATTTGTACCAATAACCTTTCAGGTTCCAGTCCAGGACTTACCCATGAGGCTGCTCACCTCTTGGCTTGCGGCCCCCTCTGCCATCGTGAACGACAGCAGCGTAGCATCTTCTGACCTCGCTCCCTCTGCTGCCATCACCCCATCACCTGCTCTGACTGATCCTCCCTCCTCCCTCCTTGAAGGAGCCCTGTGTTTCACATGTTTGCTACCGTGGCTAGGTGCCACCGAGCCTGTTCCGACCCAGTGTGGCACCATGCACTGTCGAACAAAACAACTACCCAGACCTGCGCCATCCTCACAATTGTTGCTGAGCTTGAGCCCTCGGATTTTGCGTGAATCTGTCTTATTGAGGGCCTTCCTCTTTTGTGCTCCCCTCTACTTTACCAAGCATCATGTCCTTCTCCAAGAACACGACTCTCTGGACATGTCCAAAGTATGTAAGTCTCAGCAACCTTGCCCCTAAGGAAAAGTCTGGCCATCTTGCTTCCAAGACAGACCTGTTTGTCCCTTTAGCAGCCTAGGGTAATTTCCATTCACCAGCCCCACAATTCAAATGCATTGATTCTTCTTCAGTGTTCCTTTTTCAGTGTCCCCCTCACACGCATGTGACGCTGTGGAAAAGACCACGGCTTGGGGCAGGCGCACCTTAGTCCTCCAAGGAACCTTCCTGCTTTTCAAGACTGTAACGAGGTCTGTGTAGCAGATCGGCTCAACGTCCTTTTGGATCTGTTGCTTTCACATGCACTGAATCTAGCTAAAAGCAAGACAAAATCCTTGGCAACGTCAACCTTTGCTCCATGGATCATGACGTTACCTACTGGTGCCATGTGAAGATTTTAGTCTTCACCTTGTGCCACAAAGTAATTCAGAATGATCTCGAAATGGTTGATTTAATCACATGGGAAAATCCCTTTGATGTCATAAAAGGCGACATTCGTGGGTTCTGAGGATGAGGACATGGCCTTCTCTAGGTGGGGGTATTCTTACTTAGCCTGCTATATAACCCACTTTTGGGGTCAAAGAAGATGAAAGAGTTGCCCTTGCAGACTCCACAACCATATGCTCACTGCAGTGCCTCTGGAGAGTGGATTATGGGTCTGCTCATCTTGTCTCTTATCTCTTAATTTCTGCACTTTTCTGCTTTCTTTGTGCTGAGCCAAGTATTTTGAAATGAAGAGAGGGGAAAAAAATAAGTTGTTTTTTAAACCAAAAAAGCCTTCTTCTTCCTTAGAATCAGAGATACAAGAGCAACAAGATATTTTAAATGCTGTCTAACAAAATTGCTTTCTGAAACTGGAAAGAAAACAGAGAGAAGTGGGTCACGCGAGTGGTGGGATTAGGACACGACGCTGGGGTCCTGACTCCGAGCTCTTGAGTTCCCTTCTCTTCCCGGCAACCATCCTGGCCACAGGCCACACGGAGCGGCTGGAGAGAGTACCCTGCTGCAGCCGTTCTTCCAGAGCTGGGATCGAGTACACCAGACACATGGGAAGTTACCCTCTGACTTTTCTGCAGGAAAGTCCGCCGCTGCCGCCAGCATAGCTAAGTACTACAACGCGGCCTGCCTGAACATCGACTCCGTGGTGCTGGAAGCCATCTCAGACGGGAGCAGCATCCCAGGCATTCGGGCCCGGGAGCTCTGCATCAGGGCGGCCATCGAGCAGTCCATGAGAGAGGGCGAGGAGTCTGGTAAGAGCCCCCTTGGTGCCCACAGCCTCTGGGGAGGCTCTTTTTTGGTTTTGTTTTGATTTGGGGGATTTTTTTGCTTAGTAATTTTACTTTTATTCAATCATACATCAAAGATAGGGCTCTATGGGGAAAATGAGGTGACTTTTTTTTTAATAAATCATTTTATTGGGGCCTCATACAACT